CACCCTCTCTTTTGACTCCTGGATTCATCTGCTTTCCCCTCCCTTATTCTAGGAACTAATCTCCATGCCTCCTGTCCTAGGACAAATCCTCTTCCTTTTGAAGAGGGCCTTTAGAAACCAATTTTCATAGAATGGCATTAGGGAAAGAAGATGCTAATACTAATTTTTTTTTTAGTTAATTTGTTACACAAGTATGTGTGTTTTGAAGCAAAATTGGGGCTATTTTTTCTATACAGTACTCTCCTCTAATTCATCTTCCCCATTTACTGAATTGTATTTCTCTATATTCTTAAATATTGCTAGTGGGGAATATAGATGGAGAATATAGAATTCCCCAGGAAGATGTCACCTAATTTATTTAACATGCTCCTTTATGGTGGGATAGTCCTTGTCTCCTGCTAACAGCCCTCTCTTTCTGCTCTACTGTTCACATCAAATCGTAATGTCCAGGACACATTGTGCTTTTCCACCTCTATCCCTTCAGCTGTTCCAGAAGAAATTCTTCTGGAGTTTCTTCAGCTGGAGCACATTTTTTCTTGGCATACTCCTACTTATTGTTCAAACTGGTATCATCTTTCTTTAAATCTTTCCTTGGTGCACACCCCCGTCTGCTTAGTGCCCTTTCTCTGGGCTCCCAATGCTTCCTTAAGCATCTACGATCGTTGTGCAAGGCACATTTTCTTGACTTTGTTCCCTGTGAATGTCTCAGTTCTCTTTGTTAGATTTTTAAGGTCTTTGAGGAGAAAAAGCATAGCTCACATCGAAAATACATTGAAGAGACACAGATTGCAGCTAGCATTCCTCCCCACCCCACCCTCATCCTCCTGCCTTTTTTTTAATTTTTTTATTTTTTTTTATTTTTATGTACGCCCAGCTTCTTAGGATGGCTTTCAACTCACCTGTCCTGGAACTGTCCTTTGTTTCACTCAGTAATGGGGATATCTAACATTCTCCACCGAACAAATGCAATAATGTCTAGTCCCCTTGGTGTTGATAAATATTATATAATTTTGGCCTTTTTATTTCCTTTTTCAGAAGAGCTACAGTTGTAGCCGTTTCTTTACTTTAAGCAGACACGAGTCTCCTGGACCCTGGAATAATTCCATCTTCCAGCTCTCTTTTCCAGGTTCTGTTCTTAACTGTTAAGTATCCATACTCTTCCTAATGATAACAAGAGTATTTCCTTCAATGTGTTCTTGTAGAAATGCCACACTTATTATGCCTTTGATGTTTGTAAAATTATTTGGTAACCCACATTTTTCACCCATCTCCAAGAATCATGAGATTTCACATTCAAGTTCTGTGACTGAATATATAGTTCCTTAAGTTCATGCTGATAATTTAAATTTAATCTGTTTTATGTTGCTGTTTCCAAAATAAATTTGAAATTTTATTTGTTTTGAGGACAAAGCCAAGGATAGCATTTCTTTTGTATTTAATATCATGCTGACAAATATTACTTTGAACCTGGGTTAGGATAGCTTTTTAACAGTGACATAATGTACTTTTACTATGGACAGATTTAGCTCTGTTTTATAATAAAAATCTTTGATTGTAAGACTAGTTTGGAGCAGGATACTTGGTAATTCAACAAGTAGACTAAAGTTAGGAGACAGGGAAAAAATGATAGTAGTCTGGGCTAGGGCAGTAATTTTCAACCTTTTTCACCTCATGGCACACATAAACTAATTACTAAAATTCTGTGGCACACCAAAAATTATATATATTTTGCCAATATGACTAAAAATAGATTTAATTTTGATTGATTTACAGAAATAATAATAGTGATTACCTACCCTTTTGGCTCAAGTGACTTTTTTAAAAAAATCAAGTGCGTATATTTGTATATAAGGATTTCTCGTACAAATAATTAACCATCAGGCACAACCTTATTATGTGACATGACCAATAAAATGCAACTCTGTTACATAGTCTATATACTTCTGGCTCAAAACAGGGCACTCACACTGGATGGCGATTGTCGTGTTGGCTATTGTAATTTTTTATTTCACAATCTAAGGGAAAAGAGGTCTGTGTTTCTGACTAAATAGTCAGGCAGTGCATTTTAAAAAAATTCTTGCAGTATAGTGGTTGAAAATTGCTGGGCTAGGGTGATGAAGGTGGTGAGAAGGGAAAGGGTTTGAGAAATCACTGGGACAGATTAGCTAAGGGGTGGCTTGGTGGGGAATGGAGGTGAGGTTCGGGGAGGGATTCATGCCGACGTAACTGATGGAGGGCAGTTCAATCCCAAAGAGATTTCTAGGTCAGAACACCCTGTTGCCCTGGACAATGTGCCAGATGCCACTGCCAGTTTCACCCCTTTTCATTCTTCTGTCGCTGTCATGGAGATTCTACTCTAGGTTAATGTTTTCCTACTTTTGGACATAATTTATATTGCTTAGTTTCAATCAGATTCCAATTCTTCTTTCCCCTGTCAACTCTCGGGTAACCATAACTGGATTTGGATATTCTTGAAAGTCTTCAAATATTTAAGGCCAATCATTTGGGATATAACTTATCTTCCAATGTGTGATCTTTGCTATTCTATTGCTTTCTACTTTCATTCTTAGAGGGCAACAGGGAAAAAAAGTGAGCCCCAACACACCTTACATGCTGAAGCAAATTTTAAATTAATTAATGAATTGAGTGTTCTTAATAAAAAATAGGTTGAATGTGAAAGCCATTCACATTTATTCAGTGGCTAAGTGAGCCACTGAATATATAAACAAAGCTAATTCACAAGTGGGGAAATAAAATAATAAACATGGAAAAAATGTTCCAAGTAAGCCTTTCCCCCTTGTCTATGTTTTCTAAATACTCTGTAATGTAGTATGTTCGGTTTTGCTTTTGACCTGAATTTAGGTGACCATGGGTAGTAAGTAGCCTGTTGTTGGCTCTATAATCAGAGATCAAAGAATTACATGAAGCAAGAATTAGAAGGGAAACATAGCTCAATAGTTTTAAGAGAAGGGTTAAGCTGAGAAGTTTTATAATTGTGTTATCCAAGGCCAGTTCTGGGTGATATGGTGAAGTCGACTCTGATTTTCTTCTCTTTTGCAGTTTCCTCCTAGGCAGTTACGCTGGTGTTTTCTCAAGAGGCTTCCTTTTCCAGGTCTTCAGTTTGTACCCCAGAAATGACCTAAATTTATTCACACTAAAATTGAATGTCTTGAGGAATATCTATGTTTATCTGGGATTTGAGGCGTAGTCTAAATTCATAAATGAAATCCTAATGTGAAATTTCAGGCCTCATTCAAGGGGTGAATGAAGGTCTCGAAGGATAGCAGAAAACATCCCACTAAGAGGTAGGCAAATTGCTTCTGAAAAAGCTGAGTCTTGGTTGCCACAGCTAATTATTCGTAGAAGAATAGTAACAGAAGTTAACTTTCAGAGAAGGTAAGCTGTAAAATTATAATTTAAAAAGTAAAAGTTGAGAAATCTGACACCCCAAAGTCAGGAAATCAAGACAGATCAACTTAAGAAGCAGAAGCAAAAGAGAAGAGTCTCACAAATAATGGGAAGACAAAGAAATACCCCCCACTCGAAGGGAAAGGAGAGGAATACCCAGAAAGAGAAGTCAATGAAATAGAGGCAAGTAAACTATCAGATATTGAGTTCCAAACAACGGTTCTAAGGAAGCTCAATGAGCTCAGTGAGCTCAGAGAGAATTACCAAAAACTACAGGGAAACTAAGAGGAACTTACTGCAAACTATATCAGCATGAGAAAGGACATAGAAACTATCCATCAGAGACAAGAGAAAATGAAGAATACAGTTTCTGAATTGAAGAACACAGTAGAAGGAATCAAAAGCAGGCTAGATGAAGCTGAGGACCGAATCAGTGAGCTGGATGACAAGGTAGAAAAAAGCTCCCAGGAAGAGCAAGAAAATGAAAACAGACTCAAAAAGAATGAAGAGGTATTGAGGGAAATGCAGGACAACCTGAAAAGTAGTAATATCCGTATAATAGGGATTCCAGAAGGAGAAGAGGAAAGGAAGGAATTGAGGGATAGAAAGAAAGGAGAGAGAGATGGAACTCCTACCTTTTGCAACAACATGGATGAAACTGGAGAATATTAAGCTAAGTGAAATAAGCCAGTTGATGAAAGACAAATACCATATGATCTCACCTATAAGTGGACTCTATTCAACAAAATAAACTAATGAACAAAATAAACCACAGGCAAGGAAACATGGAGCAGACTGAAACTGACCAGAGGGGAGGGGGAAAGAGGGCAATGGTGGAAAGAAGGGGAAGGGACTAGACAAAGAACATGTATGACCCACGGACATGGACGACAGAGTGGGAATTGACTGTGGGAGTGGGGGGTGGAAGTGGGGTGGGTGGAGGGGGGTAAAGAGGGGAAAATTGAGACAACTGTAATAGAATAAACATGATTTATAAATTAAAAAATAAAAAAATTTAAAAAAGTTGATAAATCTTAAAAGGATTGGGGTTTTGGCCCCCTCCTCTCTCTGAGCTGGTTATCCATCTCAGGGGGGTTTCCCCTGTGAAACTCAACTTGTCCTTCTATACAAAGGACAAGCAAAACCCCGAAGAGGCAGGCCACTGCATATTGGTAGGTGACAGGTTTAATAGGCAAGGGAACTTACTTAGGCGGCTTGTCGTGGGCAAGACGAAATGTCCATCCTTACTCTTGAGTTTATATACTGTCCAGATGGCCTTAACATACTACTTTCTCAAGGTTGCTTCCTTCAAGTGGTTCCCAGTACCGAAACTGTGGGCGGACTGGAGTTCCGGGGGGGGTGACGTGGGTGAGGAGACTCTGACTGCTCCCCTTCAGCTCTGGCTCTACGGGAGGTCAGGTCCTCTCAGTGACCAACTTCAAAACTCCCTAAACTGAACGTCGTTACTTGGTCTGATTCCACTTAAATGGCAGCTATGTGGGACATAGGAACTAAAAACGGGATTAGGGAAGGCTACGAGGCTGAAAGCACCTCCCTCCTGTGGGACATACCGGGTAAGGATCCGTGTAGTGTTGCAAGACTGTCTCCGTGGACAGCTTTGGGGGACCTGCAGGGGGACGTTCCCAAGACACCGCCGCCCACCTCCGGCCGGCACCGGCCCTGGGGTTCCGGCGGCGGCTTTAGTCTCTCCCGGCACTTCCGTCTCCACCCCAACAGACGCCAGGCACTTCCCCTTGCGCAGTCTCTCCCGCAGGCCTAGACAGCAGCATGGCCGGCGCAGAGTTGCGTGCTCTTCTCGAGCAGCGGCTGGACGCGCTCGGCATCCCCACAGAGGTTGTGGAGCATCCGGAGGTGAGGTGCTCCGGACGGGACCGCCTGGCCCGGCGATGGGGGATGGGGTGGTGGTCGGTGGGCGCCGCTGCAACGTCTGTCGGGCGGGGTCGCAAAAACCTCTTGTCCCGGGGTACTGTGCCACAGAAACGTACGTTCTAGGGAATTTCCCGGGGTCCAGTACGGAAGGGACTCGACATGAGTATCGACAGCCTCTCGATTTGGGATAACGATGTTATTGGGAGAAAACTTGTTTTTTTCTTGTATTTGATCACATTTCATGTTGAAAACTAGTGCAACATATTGAGAACGTGTGCATCTTAAACTGGTGTGGGATGTCGGTCAGCGTCTACTTCCGTGTAGCTAAAATAAGTTACCAAGCAGCAAACTGTCTCTGCAATGGCTACTACGTGCCAGGCAGCATGCACACAGCAGGACGCCAACGTTAGGGAGTTTTTATTTATTGAGAGAGGGAGAGGGAAGGAGAAAGGAAGGGAAACAGCGGTGTTCGAGAGACACTGATCGGCTGCTTCTCGCACGCCCCCAACCGGGGACCTGGCCTACAACCCAGGAATGCGCCCTGACGGGGATCCAACGGCAACCTTTTGGTTTGCGGGGTGGTGTCCAACTCACTGAGCCACAACAGTTAGGGTGGGAGTTCGGTATTTTTAACATGATTTAGTGTATATAAAGATGTGCAAATGTCTCACGGGACTCATTGTAACCTGAGAGCGGCAGGGACATAGTTTTTACCTAAGACTTAAGTAACAGCTAATGGTATTAGCTAAATATGGTAATCGTCAAAAGTGTGTTAAGTACATTAAAAGTCTTACTCAACTTTACAAATTTAACATCAAAATTATACTACTTTCTGCGATGTTCTTCCCTCCTATGTAGTCCACATACCCCCTTTACCTGTGTATATTATATTGCCAGCTTCCTGATGTTCTATTAGTCCAGGGTCTCCTAGCACCCTCACGGTGGTTATGTATTTGTAGATCGGAGGTTGTTACCTGATCGGTATGTAATTAGAATGCTAAGGAGTCTGGGCTGTTACAAACTTGCAGTGCCAAAGGTTTGAAGAAAAAACAAAAAGCATTTTAAGAACGTCAGGGCCTGGCCAACACACTGGAATAGAGAAACTACTTGAGGTCTTAGTATGAGGAATTGAGTACTTCCTAACCGTGCTGTTTTCCTTCAGCAGGCAAAATACATATAACTCTATGCATGCAGTGTGCATACATGTAATACTATTTTTAAATTTCTTGTGATATTTTACAGGTGTTTACAGTTGAAGAAATGATGCCTCATATCCAGCATTTGAAAGGAGCACATAGTAAGAACTTATTTCTTAAAGACAAAAAGAAAAAAGGCTATTGGCTGGTGACAGTTCTTCATGACAGACAAATTAATTTAAATGATCTTGCCAAGCAGTTAGGTGTTGGGAGTGGAAATCTGCGGTTTGCTGATGAAACGGCCATGCTAGAAAAACTGAAAGTTGGTCAAGGCTGTGCCACGCCGTTGGCCCTATTTTGTGATGATGGAGATGTGAAATTTGTTCTGGATTCTGCTTTTTTGGAAGGTGGACATGAAAAGGTATACTTCCATCCAATGACCAATGCTGCAACCATGGGATTGAGCCCTGAAGACTTTCTTACATTTGTGAAGAAGACAGGACATGATCCCATAATACTAAATTTTGATAAAAACAATTAATTGGGTTAATGTTTAGAATACATTTCTGAAAGCTGTTTTTTTTTTATTTGTAATTTGTAAAAAGCATTAAAAGTGGTAATATTTAGCACCTTGGTTTGGTGACTACTTAAGTCATTTTAGGAGGGATATTTCATCTTGAAGCTGTTTTCAAAAAGATGTGTTGAGGCAGTGTTAGCTCAGATAACCCCCACCTTATCCTCCATTCACCCTGACTCATTACAGAAATGCCTTCAAAAGTTAAGAATATCAAAACTAATATTTGTTAACTAAGATTTACTCTTACATCTTTGTTAGGGTGTTTATTGTATTTGAAAAAAGGGGCAGAAAAGCATACATAAAATTATGTATGTGTATATGCATGATAGTGTGCAAATAGGGAAAAATCAAAGGGAATAGAAGAATAGATTAAATTGCTGATAATGGTTATCTTTTGGGGAATGAGGATTAAGGGATTTAAAACTCCCCAGCAAAACAGTTAAAATAAACATGGGCAAGGGCTAAGAATTTCCATTGCTGGGTATTTTTAAACATGTTTTTTAAGTGAAAAAATAAGCTAATTAACTTTTTATGAAAGTATATCTTTAGAAAATTTTAATCTAGAAAAACACTCAAAATAGGGACGGAAAATGTTGTAATTATTATACCACTAAAATTTTATTTTAAAACTCAGCAGCAGAATATACACAGGCCATCAGGACTTGTTTAGTCTTTGTTCAAATGTTAGAAATGTGAACGTAAAGTTTCTTCTGTCCTCTAAGGTATATTAAATTTTACTTATCCTCTTTCAATTATGGCATATGAAAAGTATAAGGTCCCAGCATTATGTATTGTCAGTGGTCACATAGAAGGTATAGTTCAGAAACAGAGTGAGGAAAATTGACATTTTTTTCACCTCCCTTATATTCAAACAAAACCCTTCATCAGTTGAGGGTCTGGTGTAGGTTAGACTACACAACTAGTCTACAGGTCCTGTCACAAAAATTCTCATTTTCCTCTAGTAAAATCAAATGGGATATTCATTAACATAACCATATTTTTCTATGTTGATCACTCAAAAAATAATCTCCACCTGGTAGAGATGTACTTAATTTATACTAATTTCTGTTACTAAAAGGCAAAGTAAAAGTAAAAACGTCATTTCTTGATACATGCTTAGAAACTAGAAGTCTATTCATGGCAGAATTTTTATAAAATATAGAATGTATTTAAGTGATGTGGAATTAGCAAGAAACACTTTCCATAAATGATAACCTTATTCTGAGATGCCACGTTAGTTTTTACCTACTCTGTACTGTATCTTTAAAAGTAAATTTTAGGTTGTTTTGCATATATACAAAGGTTTAATGACTAAAATCAAAGACACTGAAGACCTCAAATGAAGTGGTCTAACTTCCCTTCCCTACCTTATGATAGAAAAAGGCACAGAAAGACTGACCTGCAAGGACACAGGCTGGTTGCCATCACTAACATTCTATCTCCAACGACTAAGTGAAAATGAGAGAGTGATTTGTACAATCTATATATTAATGCATTGGGTTGGCCAAAAAGTCCGTTTAGTTTTTTTCCCATAAAATAAAAGACACATTTTTCATTTTCACCAATAACTATTGATTTGGATATTTTGAGTATGTTGGCTATCTCCCGCCATGGTATTAACATTGATTACGTTCTCAATGTCTCAATTTGATTGTTATCTACCCAACCATGGAGCATCATCAGCAAGAATTCTCCAGCACAAAACTTCACAAACCACTTTTGACATGTTTGATCAGTCATGCATCTTTTCACGTTTCAGCTGATTTTTTATCTTTCTTGAAATAAGGCATAATATACCAAAAATGTTGCATATTTTCTTCCATCTTCAATATTAAAATGACTACACAAAAAAATCCACCAATTTTGATGTTTGTTTTTTTTTAATGCACACTGATATGACAGCTGTCACAATACAATCTAACAAAATTTTTCAGAATGAAGATAAAGACAAGTAAGTGCTACTAGAGCCATCTTACGGAAAAAAACCAAACAGACATTCTGGGCCAACTGACACTCTCTTCTCTTTCTCTCAAAACCTCCAATACCTGTGCCAAAATGGTTAGCACAGAATCTCTAGGATAGCACAAGGTTATGGGCTATGTCCGAAAATAGGTTTTCCAGGGCAAAGAGAAAGGAAAGAATAATACTGGCTAAACTCTATTTTACAATTTTTAAATGATTACTAACCACTTATAAAAATCACCTTTGTTTTATTTCTTTTTATATCAGCTTGATAAGTCAATGTTAAACCAACCTAATTTAAAAAAAAAAACACTAAAATGAAAAATGATGAATGAAATTTAAAAAGATGAACAATGGTGTCTCTTGTTATAAACTGGATTTCTATGGCTGATATTAGGTATTGCCAAGTAATAAACATTTTGCTATCCAACTCCAAATCCCTCAATAGCATTACTTTTAAAGGAAATATTACAGCTTCTATATTAATTTGATTTGGTATTTAATAACAGTTATACGTACAATGGCAAACATTGAAAGAGAACCCTTAGGAGAAAAGCAAAAGACAATTTATAATCAGGTTTTGTTAAAGACTATTATAAGTGCAACTTTATCCATAAGCATTCCTTTTAAGGCATTTTCATTGTCCAAATATTTTAACATGTACATCACGGTTTATATTATAAAATGGGCTGCTTCTGTATTATTCATTCAAGGCTTAAAGAAAAAACACGTCTCAGGAATAAGTGTACCAGAAAAAAACACAAAATTTACCACTTTTCTCATACGTAACTTAAAATACAAGTCATTTAGCATACATTATTACTCATTGTAATTCCAGATTTGGTACAATATCTTTTTCACACTTCCTGACAGAAACTGTTAAGACAGTGCAGGCTGTAATATTTCATTTGTGAAGTGGCTGCAATTCTGTAACATGCACAGTGACTTTTCCATAGGCTCTTACCATGCCTTGTATGAAAGGTGCTACAATACAAACCTGTTCCGTGAACTCTTTGGTAACCACCAGTTCAAAAACTTGGACCAAACCTTTCCCCACATGGTCAGGTGTGAAACACTACTGGAGCTCTGGGCTGAAGCTCTTACCCTGTATTTTAAATTCTTCAGGTTTTTTTTTTGGGGGGGTGTGGATGGGGTGGTCAGTGAGGGATTAGGTATAGATTTAGAATAGATAATTAAAAGCATGTCAACCCCAGTCATAAAGCCCCCAGTTTGTTTGTAGTTAGCCATACCATTTTGTTTGGCAGAAGCAGTTTATCTAAGGAAAAAGAGTGACTTCCTCTAAATTTGCTTCCAATAATATCTTTTGGAGAAAGTAAAATATTCATGTGGCTATTATCTAGTCCTTTCTTGAAATGTTATGAAAAAGGGGATGAATATAATTTGAGAATATCCCTACTTCTGCAGTCTCGAGTGTCCCCTTGGTTGTTGCTTTAACTAGGCTTTCTTAGGCTCAGCCTACTTAGATTGGATACTTCATAGGCTGCCGTTAGCATTCTCTACTTGAAGAGACAATATGCTGCTAAGTCAGCAGACTCTCAATTCTAGGGTAATAATATCCTGGAAAGGTCAAGCTGTGATATAATTCACCCTACTGGGCCACCTCCTACTCATTAATTTCAGCTTTCAGTAATTGTCCTGGGATGTGTGCTAGCTGTGCAAATTAGGAGCTAGTTAATATAAATCTAAGTTACCCACTTACTGTATTTTAGCTAACACATAATTTCTATATTTTCCATTTATCCACCTAAAAATGAATTTACATTTTTTACATGCAAGGTCTCTAGACTGCCATGATGCCCATTATCAATTTGATATTTGAATCTAGGGAGTCATGATGGAGAGAGATTTTTTGAAGTCTAGAGAATAGGTTTTAAATATATCTATTGTGTAACACTTGTGTTTTAGTAAGAAATCTTTGTATTTATATTACATAGCACCTTTCATCCAAGAGTTTAAAAGTGATTCAACTTTACAGCATTATTTGGCAGCAAAACCTAAGGTAATGGTGGCATTAAGCTAGTAAGTCCAAGTTTGCTAATTTCCATTTAATCTGGTCAACTTTATATTCTGTCTTTTCATTAATGGTCTTTCTGTAAGTAGACTTTGAACACAACATTGCTGCTGACCTACCAAAAAAAAAAGATAAATATATATATATGAAAAAGAAGGGGAGGAGGGGAAGAAAGGGAGAAAGGGAGAACACATTTCTCATGGAAGCTAGGTTAGTGATGAAACACACAGTTCATAAACCCACATTGGAACATGGAATTATTCAAAAAAGATTTTTAGAGCTGGTAATGAGAGCCTAAGAAGTACACTGTTAAAATAAAAAAGACAGTGTCTTTTTCATTTCAGACGATTAAGATCCTGATATTTATGTTAAATAATGAATTTGCATTAACTGGTATCAATGCATTTTTTTGATTTCATAAGAAAATAAAACTGATATAAAATTGGAACTACAAAAAAACTGATGCTTCCCTGGGTTAAATTAACTAAATCTACTTTTTTTGTGCTTCTTTCAAATGTTCAAGGTAATAAATGTATACAAATATTTCAAAAGTACCAATAACAGTTACCAACTTTAATGTAATATTATAAAGAAAACAGAAAAAATCTTATTAATATTAATAAGCGATAACCTTAATAATAAGTGAGTTCCTGGCAAAATGCAGATCATAGTATTATTTACATTATTTTTGCCATAAGAAAACTTCTTAAGCAACAGTCAGCTCTCAAGTTAAAAAAACAAACATACATACGTAACCCAATACTAAAGAAGGGAAATGAATTAAAATATGACAGCTTTGTCTTAGGAATGCCATTTGCTGGAAAATCACCTTACTAAAAAAAAAAGTGTCAGAGAAACACTCAACCTGGATCCATGTGTGAATGTTTAGTGTTGCTTATTGGGGAATATGGAAATATTAATATTACTGTAAATTTTTTATAACTCATTATGGATTTTTCAGATTTATCTTATAAACCAAATTTTTCAGTGTGTCAAAATAATTGGCTTAAAAAAGAATACCAACACATGCAGTCTGCTAACCAAATAAGGC